GAACCCGTGGCCTCGGCGCTATCAGTGCCGCACTCTCCCATGTGAGCCACAGGGCCAGCCCTTAGCTTTTATTTCAATAGCATCTCTTGTGTAGGTACCAAAATCTGTTAGTTATTTCATGCTACATTCTAAAATGTCTGGAATGTTAGTGGCTTACAATGCCAATAAATGTTTTTCTCACAGTTTTTGTGAGTCAGTAATTTGGGAGCAGCAAAGCTGGACAGTTTTGGATCTAGGGGTTTCAAGAGGTTGCATTTATAAAGATTTGACAAACTGGGGAATATGCTTTCAAAGATGGCTTAGTTATGTAGCTGGTAAGTTTATAGTGGCAAGTTGTTTCCTCTCCAGTGAGACATCTCCATATGCTGCTTGAGTGTACTTGTGATGTGACAGTTGGCTTTTCTCAGATGTGGTCCTTTTTATAATCTCACTTTGGAAGTCACTTCTGCCATGTTCTATCCATTAAAATGAGTCTCTAAGTCTTGCCCACATTCAGCAGGAGAGGAATTGGGCTTCACCTTTTGAAGAGGAATGTCAAAACATTTGCAGACATATTTTTAAGTTACTACACCTTCCAACACCATGCAGTCATTGTCAAACTTTCAGAAATTAGTACTAGGAAACAAACTTCTTGATGTCATGTGTGCAGTAATGCTTTTCACCATACCACATGCCTTACCTGTAATTACTGCTATTCTGCCACCTCACTCCCTGTGTGTCCTTGGCCAAGATATTTATTATCTGTGGGCATCAATTGTAAAATGCTAATCAAGAACCTACATGGTAGTCCTGTTATGGGGATTGATTGAAACAGTGAGTATGAAAACCTTGGATGATTATCTGGCATATAGCCTTATGCTCAATAAATATGAGCCGTTATTGTTGCTGTCATTATTTGTGTTGCTGATAGTTAATTTTTATAAAAGATTCTAATAGTGAAATTAATTTAGAAATTAATTTCTTAAAGCCATTCATCTATTATTAAATTTTACAAAATTTATTAATTTTGGAAACAAAGTATATGATTTAGTGTATATAAAGTTTTTGTTGGTGGTCAACAACTCATATTCTCTGTTCACAATTTAAGATGAAACAGGAATTAATAGGATAGCAAAAAGTAAATTGTCCTCTTGGAGATTTTTTCTAAATTTATAATGTATATTTTTATT